ACAGAGAGAAAAAAAATGTCCCAAGGTTGTGCCTCAAGCAGGATTAGAACTCATAGCCTTCCAGTTGTTAATCCAGCTGCTTTAACCGGTACACCAAACTAGCTTTCAACTTTGTGCAGGTCTAATCAAACAAGACATTCAGATGATAGTTTCTTATGTTCTTTCTTTAAAGTTTGCACTTTGAAGTGTAGCTTTTACCGTCCAATTCTGCAAATATTTCAAGGGCCATGTATCAATTTTGATTAAGTGGGTAGAGCAGATAATAAGGAAAGTTAGCACACTGACCCTTGTTTCTTTGCTTAGAAGTAAGCAAGAAGATTAATTTTAAAAAAAACCTCTTTGTCAGCGTATGCACTAGGTGGACTGGAGTATATTCCTAGGCTAGCATGTATATACAGTAATTCCAAATTCAGTAAAAAAAAAATTACACAATGGCCAACCACAAACACTCTCTATCCCACCTTGTTCAATAAAACCATTCTCAGAAGCAAGCTTTTGTATGAAATGTTTGACTAAATTATTGTTTACCTAATGTAATCTTACATGTGACTATTCCAATCTGAATTCTATTAGGCTTCTTCCTAAGTAAGAAAGTAATAAAATTGCAGCTTTATTAAGCAGCAAAGGAAGAATTCCCTCACTTCTATCTCTCTCTCCCCAATAATGATCATTGGCTCACAATATAGAAACAAACTGCCATATGGAAAAACATACTTATAATTTGTGCTTCATGTTGCATGCATCAACATAGCTAGGCTTTTGCACATGTGAAGTTGTTCTGGTCTGCTCTGCATTATTTAAGCAAATAATAAACTTCTGAGGTCCTAGGAAAGGAATCTCCTGCCCTAAAGGAGATTCAAAAGGAATCTCCTGCCCTAAAATATGGGAGGTGGGTCAAGGGTTGTAAATGATTACAGTTACTATTTTATCACTTTTACAATTACATGACTGCATTTGCCCTTAAGTGTAATAGGAAGACCCCTAAGCAATGTATAAAGTATGTTATAAAAATTTCAAAGCAAAACAAAATGAAATGAAAAACATTCATTAGAACAGAATTGCTGGCATAGTCAGTGGCAGAGGCATGGGAAGACCAACATCAGAAGGTAGCTTTTTAAAACGTGTCTAAAATATGCCAAATTGGAACTTGGTACACTGCACAGGATAGGTACACAGGGCCACAATTCCTTCATATTACTTCCAAGTGGCCATTCATAGGCAGTGGCACAGAGAAACAGATCTTTCCTGACCATCAAACGTACTCCAGTGACTAGTGTACCTGGAAGGTCTGCATAATTTTAAAGAAATCTTTTTGGCATGTCCATATATCTCTGTAAATTCAGGCTGGCCAGGGCAAAGTCCTGCATACAGGCCATCTTGCTAAGATAGATCAAAGTACTTCCATGTGGCTTTCAGAGGGGGGGGGGAAACCTTCTTTCCCAAAAGTCCTAAAAAAATAGGATAATGATTTGGCCTCCCTCCCTCCCTCCCTCCCTCCTTCCTTCCTTCCTTCCTTCTTGTTTGGTGCAATTCTGTTGATCGACTAACATAACCTTTTGGAAGGATCAGTTTGTCCATATAAATGGGCACCCACACACAGATTGCTGCTCTCTGCTTTGTTCATGTTCCTTGGCTACTCCTGCAGTCCTTTGGTCTGGGACTTATTTTTACACATGTTTTGTTACACGATTAGGTAGTTCTTAAGGGTGGTTCCAGTTTTCAGCTGGGTGTGATATTTCCAGTGCTTCAACAGGGCCCTGTAGAATGTCTCCAGTTCTTGCTAGGGCCTCTGTTTCAAGCTACCTAACAAAATGAGCTTTGATTCCTGCCTTCTGGGTCTACTCGTATATAAACATAAATGGCATTTCAGTTTCTCCAGAGATGCTTAGGGGAAAAATGAATTGCAGCATCAAAGGAAATGTAATTTTCTTGGAATCTCACCTCATAATTGCAAAGGGGGAGGAGACTCTGCCCCCAGTCTTCCCTAGTTCCAGCACTTTGTCATCTGCCTTGATTGTCCTGGCAGTTGAAGCTGCTGTTTCCAAGGCAAGCTCCTATTGCAAAGAAGGGAGAGAATGTGAAGGCAGATGTTTCATTAAGCCCACCGCTATACTCAGTGCTTACTCTCTCCGTGAGCAAGCTAGTTTTGCTTTGTGTTTTTTTTCTAATGAGCTTTTTCAAATTGTATATTATCAACAAGCAGAGGCTTCTGGGGGTGGGGGCGTGCAAATCAAATCAGACTAAATATTATATATCTAATCTAGCAAAGGATAAAGCTCCATGAGCTTTTGCATGGTGATACATCAGATTTCTTAAATTCTTTGGAGAATTGAAGCAGCATTGAACAAGAACTGGACACATGGGGGGGAAAAACCCCAGTCATAAAAAATTTGTGTCACCATCTCTTTGGTTTCATTTGAGATCTCCAAGAAGGCAAAGATCAGACATGCCTGATTAGCACAGCCAATATAGAAACACCAGGAATAAGGGTTTGTGTTCAGAAACCTTGCAGGAAAAATTAATTCCCACTGCAATTGTCTGAATTGAGATTGAAGTTGTTATCTACGATGCCCATTCCTGAAAAATGTTGTTTCTTCTTATGTCAACTGTCCACAGCCTGATACCCTCCAAAATGTTTGATTCTAGTTCCCAGCCAGAAGGGCTAATATAAGCATTGCCTTTTGTCTTTCATCGTGCAAAACACAATAAAAACAATGTTTAGCCTCAAAATAGAAGTAGTCCTTTAGTTATGGCCACATTCCAGCTGCTAGCCACCTGAATTTTGATCACGTAACCACAGGGATGCTGCAATGCTCATAAGTGTGAGGACAGTTGAAAGTCACTTTTTTCAGTGCCGTTGTAACTGAACTGTTGCTAAATGCTAAATGAATTGAGGACTACCTATGTATTGAAGGATTTTAACAGGGCTAGGGAGAGATCCAGATTCAAAGGGCAATATGTGATGAAGAGTGCTCAGAGATGTGCTTGTGGTGCCTGTTAGGAACATCTTATAGTAACTCTGGCTTTTCCTGAGCTTGTGCTGATGCCTTCCACAGCTTACACAGATCCCAGCAAAAAAGATATTTTATTTAAGGGGTTCCCAGAAGTGTTCAATGCTATAAATTGCATTTTGCCCATTGAATCTGCCTCTCTACAGCGCTCTCTTTCCCTATCTTCCCAGGGCAATCATTGCATTGTTCCTTAAATACTTTTTTCCCCCAGCATATACATCAATTTCATTTGTAACTGGGAATATCATTTTCCCTGCCATGTATATGTCATGTAATCAGTTGTTACTTGTAATGAAGCTATGCAAAACCTTATGTGTCTATTTGATGCTTTTTTCTTAGAAACCTAGATACCTCAGGAGGATAGCCAGTAGTAGAGTGTCTAGCAAACTGCGTAAAAAGCTAACATACTCAAGCAACAAATGTTACATACCCATAGCCATAATATCTTTGAGCTTTTATATATATTTCTTTTAAAAATTTAAATTTACAGGCCTCTTTTTAGGTGTTCTTAATCATTTCAGTATAAGAATTATGCTCAGATTTGCTATTAAATGCAGCATGTGCTCACACAAAAAAGAAAAAAAATATTTCCTTAATGTGATGCCTATTTTCATCACCCCTTTGTTTGTTGGGATGGGGAAGATATTTTCAAAATTATTTGACTCAGATGCCTTCGTCTGATCTGACATATACATTTGATGGCTTCCAGTTTACACATCTTTGGTTTTCTTCCACTCCTATCTAAAATTTTACCTAAATGCAGTTGTGGCTTTTAAAAATTACCCTGGTTGCACTCCTTTTGAGACAGACAAGCAAGTTTGAGAAGGTCTACATTTTGGGGGGCTTGTGCATGCCAAACAGAACAATGACCAGAATTCACTCCTCTTCTGCTTGGGCAAACCAAAATGAAGCAAAGAAGAAAACCTGGAATTTTCTCCCACTCTAAAAAGTTAAGAAATTATCCTTCCTATTTTAAAAAAAGAGTTTAAAAATTGATTTTTTTCATTATTGCTTTTCAATTAACAAAGCTGTCTTTAGATTACTATTTAATTATTAAAAATAAATATATGTTTGCTAACTCTAATCTCCTGAAATAGCCCACACGCAGAGGTGGGATTCAGTCAGTTTGCACCAGTTCGGCAGAACCGGTAGCTAATTTTTTGTTGCCCAGGCCCAGAACGGACTTCCGGAAGCGGCATCCACACAGAGAACCGGTGGTTCACATATTTGAATCCCACGACTGCCCACACGCGATATAAAATTAAAATAAAACAAAAATATATGAAAATTTAAAGGACATAAAAATTCCAGAAAATATAATCGGATTGTTCAAAAGTCCATTTCAAATCAAGCAGATTTGAGCACCAGCCACGTTTTCCCCTTCAAAACAATCTTTTTAGGTATCTGTCTGTCTGTCTAATACAGGGGTCCTCAACCTTGGCAAGTTTAAGACTTGTGGACTTCAATTCCCAGAATTCCTCAGCTGGCTGAGGAATTCTGGGAGTTGAAGTCCACAAGTCTTAAACTTGCCAAGGTTGAGGACCCCTGGTCTAATATATCTATCATCTATCTAGCCTTCTGCAGACCCTTGTATGACCTTGTATAGGTGCAAATAGCTTTCAGGAAACAAATGGTGACTAAGGGCCCAGGACAGAGATTGGCAATAGAGAGCCGAGCTTTCAAAAAAGAGCGTTAGCTGCAGCTACTGAGTTACTTAGAGCCTTTCAGACTTTAACCAGCAGAGGGCAGTGCTTTCTATTTTTTGCAGCAGGTTCCTATTGGAAGATGTTTTTAAAGTACAACACTACTGATTGTGGCTTAGAGTTAGACTAATGACAGGCAGAGCAAATTTTCTGGCTTTTTTTTTTTTGTAATCCAGGGAAAACATCACCAGGAGATTCCTCCCATGGGCCTTTTTCTGCAGCTGTGTTACTAGGCTGCTAAAGGAGAGGCCTACCTTATGAAAGTATTCTTATAGAGAAGACCTTATTCCTTTGGAGAAATTCAGAAAAACTGCCTATCCGCTTTCTCTGCTTGTTGATGCTTAACTGTACTGGCAATTTAAGCACAGGTTTTGGCCTGCTCTGGATTGCCAAAAGACTAAATGGCTTGTATGTTTTTCCCAGCAGAATACTCACAAGGACCTATCCCAACTTTGTGGAATGATCCACCAGAGCTGCAGTCAGGTGGAGGTCCTTTAGAAACCACCCCTCCTGCCCGCGTCTCAGAGTCTACAGGATTCCCATCATATACATCTGATTATGAACTAGAGGACACAACCCATCTCCACCATCTGGATAATGACAATGGTATCCGTGCTTGGCAGCGGGGCTGATTATTGGGAGGGTTCTAGTGACATCTTGTCAGGCCTTCTAATGAAGGGTTGCAGAACTTACAGGTCTCCCTCAGGCCACGTGCCCATCAAAGAAAGAATGAAACTATGTGTTATTGTTGAGTGGGTTCTGAATATACACATAGCACTTTTCTTTTCCACTGATTGGCTACATAAAGAGGCCTGGCTGTCTATATCAATCCCATGGGAGCTTTTAGGATCATTTTTGTTCCTCTATTACAATTAAATTTACAGTAGTTTAAGGGAAAGGGTTAAAGGGGGCAAACTGTTTCCGGGCATTTCTGTACTAGGTATAATTAGTCCATTGCATGTAACTTTTAGTTGGTGGGATGCAGGAAACAATATGTTTGTCTGCAACCCAGTCTTAAGACATCCTAGCTTGCATAGGACAATGGAACCAGACCTAGGCTAAAGCTGGACTTTAGTTGTGCTTGTGGAATTCTGGCCAGAGGGCACCCAAACTAGTTGTGTGTCCTTCCCATCAGCAAGGAGTGCTGCTTGTGGCAAATGTGCACCTGATACCCTAGTAGGCACGTGCAAAACTTGAGAAGTTTGGGAATAGAAAGTTCTGAAGAACAAGAGAGTTTTCTTGCTCAGACTATGCTGCCTCTCCTCTAGACCAGGCTGTTTAGTGGTCAGTTGTTAATTTTCCAGGAGTAAATTCTTCAGACTAAAAGTGATGAAAGTTATTCTGAACATGGTGTTCTGGACAAAGCAAGTCTTTGAGGGATCACCCCCCAGAATATAACCTTCATAGGAAAATTAGACGAGACGTTTAAAGAATAAAAGGCAGTACATAAATCAGTGCCTGGAAACAGGGAATACAATATCAGAAAGATAGGGAGGTATAGTGGATTAGTGCTATACTGTTCACCGATGCTAATTTGAAGGAGAAAAGTTGATTATGCATGGGGGTGTGTATAGCATCTGAGCACATCTCCATAAGTCCTATGTGTCTAACAAAAGTTATTATTAACAACTGCAATACAATTTCCATTCGAATCTCAGCTCATCTCTGTTCTGAATAGTTGGAAGCAGGCATAACTGTATTTTGATATTTTACTCCCTTTCTCTTACCTTCTGCCTTTATTATACTTACAACTTATTATTTTTCTGTGTTTTAAATAATGCTGCCCAGCACAGTAAATAATAATAGTGAATAGTATACTATGTGTACATAAATGTATGCCCATTGTATATAAATGTACAGCAAAATTAATGTATCCCAGTACGGATCAACAAATATAGAATACAATCCTATATTTTGACTTGCTTTTTAAAATTCATTATCATAAATTGCAATGTATTTAGTTCTAATCATAATAAGTAGCCATGGGAAATTGAAAACAGGAGGCTATCACATTTAATACAAACTAGGCTTGTGCCATCCAGATCATAATAATTTGGCTCTGCTCACGAATTTCAGCTCTACTCTTGCTATGACTCACTGGTTCAGCTTTAAGCAAACACACATACGCACACACCCCAAAGGTTATCCAATTATCTTTATTTTTCATATTTCATCTATATACCAATTTTATGTTATTTCATCTCTAGTTTAATATTGCAAAAATTAAATTTTGCCAGTTTGAATTCAAGGAGTTAGAAGGCAACAGTTGAATTGGAGTATAACATGTATATTTTTAAATAATAAAACATCTGAATATTTGCAGTTATCTTGGCATGATGGAAAAGTGGCTTGCTATTGTAATCTTCTGTAATATCCTCCCAACTTTGTGATCTATTTTAAAGTACTGGCCTTCTCAGATGATGTCTGCAGAGGGGATCAAAAGGATGATCTCTTTTTTAATATACATCATGTGCATCCTTTACATAGGAAGCAATGATTTCCTATCTTTGACAGTAGCTGATTAGCTTTTCAGCTCTACTGAGGATTACCTGGTGGTGACCCAGGATTGGGAGTGCAACATAGCCTGGAGCTTTCTATTCCCACTACTGTACTCTTAAGCAATATAAAAAATGGCGGGGAAGAGCCATAGCTCTTTACCCCCATCCTTAAATGTAGCTATCAGCCACTCATTTAGCAAATATGGTAGAAGCACTATAGATTCAATGTAGTTGAGCAATTGTGGGGGTATTGTATTCTCTTCCAGCAACTGCAGTTTTAGGCATAATCTACTAAATTATTTATTTTGGTCTTTGTATCTCATTTTTAACTAATTTACTATTGCATTGTTTATTGTATATGCCAAACCCAAGTACTCTTCTGTTCTCTTTCATCTCATCTGCAGGGTCTCTGGGTCCCGGGGCTATCGGTGCCATAGTGATTGCTGCTCTGCTGGGCACGTCTGTGATTGTGGCCTTGATTGTTATCACTCTACGAAAATGTTCTGCTTCCTAAAATTAATAAAAAGTGTTTTCCTCCCCAAGTATACTCTTTTCGAATCTTCCCCCCTTCCTCCATGCTTGCATATTTTGGGAGAGAATAGGAAGAACAAAGATATGCCTGCATTTCAGAGGGCAATCTGTCCTCAAGCCACCTTGGATCACAGCCACGGTGCTTCTTCGCTTTCAGACAAAAGGCCTTGAAAATGCAGAGTCTAATGCAGGGGTAGTTAACCTTGGCTCTTTTATGACTCGTGGACTTCAACTCCCAGAATTCCTGAGCCAGCTAAGCTGGCTCAGGAATTCTGGGAGTTGAAGTCCACGAGTCATAAAATAGCCAAGGTTGACTACCCCTGGTCTAATGATTGCAGAGTTGGATGTTGGGTGGGAGGTACAGCTAGACCAGTGGTTCTCAACCTTTTTAATGCCGCGACCCCCAACCGGTCGTAAGTCGAGGACTAAACCGGTCGTAAGTCGAGGACTACCCAACCGGTCGTAAGTCGAGGATTTTCCCTGCCCAGGAGCGCTGCGCATGCGTGGTTCCGCCCCCTGCGCCGGCCAAGGCGTAGCTGGCAAGCGGCAGAGACGGAGCAGGCCGACCACCAGCTGGCCCAGCTCAAGGGAGGTAAGGCACCCGCCGGAAAAGGGGAAAAAAATGGCGGACAGCCTTGCTTGGCGACCCCTGTGAAATGGTCGATCGACCCCAAATGGGGTCGCGACCCATAGGTTGAGAACCGCTGAGCTAGACTGACCGAGAAGCTGCTACGAGCATCGAGTTCCTGACAAGAAGATGCTTGCACTACCAAATATCATGAAGCACGTGCATTACTGAAAGGCCACCTTACATTCATGCATGCATTTAAAGGCACATATTAAAACTGACTACGAAGGCTTAATTGCTATAGCAAAAATAAAACCATAACCAGCAGCTTAGTTTTTGATTCCTGAAATACTAGTGCTGGGGAGTAAGATCATCAGTTCTGTATTTATTTTCAGATGGCCTGATTTTATATACTGTTCTGTTATAATTAAACAAGCCTTTCCCCCCCTAAATACTATGTTTGCCCTGGCTTTTTTTTTTAAAGCAGCCAAGTTTAGTTTTGTTAACATTGGATATTATTTTGGGGAGAGATGAGAAACACTAAGGTTAAAAAAAAGTATACAAACTTTTCCTTTGATTGTGTAGAACAGCATCATCATTTATTGCATACTCTTATGAACATGCACTTCTATCTATTTGACTAATAATGTGTGACAGAGTGGTGCAACTACTATAAACATCAGTGTGAAACTCTACTCACATCTCTCAAAGCTTTTGTGCAGTTGTGTTACATATTTAGATTTAAAAAGGAGGTTGAAACTTTCCAATGGTAGATTTGGCAGATTACCTTCTTAAACTGTATACTGCAGTGGTCTTCAAACTTGGTCCTTTTATGACCTGTGGACTTCAACTCCCAGAATTCCTCAGCCAGCATGCTGGCTGAGGAATTCTGGGAGTTGAAGTCCACAAGTCATAAAAGGACCAAGTTTGAAGACCCCTAGAATACTGTGTATCACATCATATAACCTAAAGTGAGCTCTTCTTTAGATTTACAAAGAGTTTTCTCTGCCAGGACTTATCCATGCTTCTTTAGACATTGGAATACCTTCTCAGAGTATTCAGTCTTAAATTGTTCTTAAAGTATATTGATTTGGATAGGAATTGTTGGGCTCCCAATTTTCCCCAGTTCTAGCTTGATGAATTGTCATGGATTCTGGGATTTACAGCTGAACATCCAGAGAATGATAGGTTCCTCATTCCTTCTCTAAAATATTAATATATCACAGATATTAATATATCTCATATTTATTAATATATAACAAGAAGCCTTTGAAAGATGGCCTTTTTCTACTGCTTACAGGATTCTTCACAAACCTGACCCTTACTAATGTCTGTGTGGCTAAACTTCCATAAAGTCCAGCTAACATTACCAGGTCATCCTTTTATAAAGACATACTTGCTCAACTTATTATAGGAAGTGATTTGCACATTGCTACAATTTTTAGGTAATATTTTCATGTTTTTATACAATCTTATCTACTTTTTTATTATTTTGCAAGTAAATTACTCAAAGGCACAACAATGGTACAAGCAAAACGTGATTGGTATTAGATTACCATTGTGAGATGAGAATGGACGCTTTCCCTCCAAAACTCAGCCACATTGGTGTTTTTAGACATGTATCAGTATGGCTCAAGAAAAAAAAATCTTAATGCAATTTGGAAAACTCTAATTTCAGTAGCAATGAAACACTAGGATCATATTTTAATAATACTGGCCACAACTACATTGCCTAAGAACATATGAGTGAAGTTTTTTCCTAATATAAAGATTACAAAAGTTTTCACATATTCACGCTCTATCCCCTCAAGCTGAAAAGTCTTACTTCTGGAAATTGGTGTTACTGATAATGATAGAACAGAATCATTTAGACCAGGGGTAGTCAACCTTGGCTCTTTTATGACTCGTGGACTTCAACTCCCAGAATTCCTGAGCCAGCTTAGCTGGCTCAGGAATTCTGGGAATTGAAGTCCACGAGTCATAAAAGAGCCAAGGTTGACTACCCCTGATTTAGACCAATGGCCTTTCATATTATACAACAGTACAACAGTCTCTCATTTTGGGGCAAATTAACACTTTTATATTTGTGCCTTGTAGAAAGGGCATTTAATAAATTATTTTGGGAGTATATAAATAAATGCTTCTTGATAATTGCTTCTGTAACGTTTTTAATATGCAAAATGTTTTACAACCTTTTAATCTAATAGGCTCGGGCCCATAGCTGACCCTGTGGCTTTTCCAAAGTTAGAAGGATCTTGATGCTTTTCATGGCTCTCTATTAAATGCTGAGACATCTCTTGTTCTTTTGGCTCAAGGCTTTCCTGTACACGTGTTTAAAGTACAGACTTCATGCACTTTGCTAAGGGTGCACAACAAATGAGTAAAATCACATTTCTATTACTTTGATACAATTTTGGAGACATTTAATACAAACATCCACCTTTTGTCTCGGGCCTGCTGAATTTTTTTGCATGAGCATTGGCTGTTATGGATGTACAACCACAGAACAAAGGAGCAAAAGTCAGAACTTTACTGTTCTGACTCTGAATGAGTTACTGATGCTTACCATATGTAGCACCCATGTGGAATGTTATGAATAGCTTATTTGGCTGTGAAAACATGTTCTCTGCTTTTCTTTTACTTCTTTTTCAACATATGCAAATGCTTCAGTGTATACAAGAGGCTCAAGCAGAGAAATCTCTTCAAGGGATATTATCTCAAATATTGCAATCTCCTATACAGTTTAGTGCAGCATTTGCTTAGGACAAAACCCTTAATACAGTGGTCCCCAACTTTTGTGGCTTGGTGGCTCGGCTGGGGGCGGGGAGAGGGGAACTGGGCCATATGAGTGGCGAGCCGGTGCATGCGCATGCACGCAGCTAGACTTGCACAAGCGGAAGGCTGGCATGCGTGTGCACGATTGCCTGCTGGTCCATCACTCATACAAGTTGAACTGCATGCCAGCTGCTCATGTGACCCAATTCCAAATAGGCCATGGCCTGGTAGTGAGCCTCAGCCCAGAGGTTGGGGATCCCTGTCTTAATATACTCCCCATTCTGGCACTAACTCCAAACACAACTATACTCTGTCTGGTTGCCAGTGGTACGTGTATGAGATAACTAACTTTGGATAAGTAAGTGCAGTTAGTGATTGTTTAGACAGGGAATAATATTTCTTATAAAACAGAATAATTGATTCCGTATCGTCCCTGAATAATGTGGTTTGGCATACATCATTGAGAAGCGTAGACTACACAGATCAAAAAAATAGAAGGATGATAATCTGAGTTCCCAATTGGGCCACTGCAACCAACTGACTCTTATTTTAGAAAATATACTTTGCATGCTTCAATATTACCGTCTAGAACTTGGAAGTTCATAACCAAGACACCCAGGTAAATAAATATTGTAGTGCATTTTAACTACACAACATTGCACTTCCTGATCATTTTGTTACCTCCACCTTTTTTCCAAAACACAAGAAGAAACTAGTTTATCACATGAGCAGTTCAAACTCAGTTCCTAGGAGAAACTTCCTGAGTATAGAAATATGGAAGTTGACAATTTATAGTATAAGCTTTCAAAGTAGTATTGTCTACAACTTCATTATCTTTTCATAAGAAAATCAAATGCTGCACTTTTTTGTACCATTGGATAAGATGCTAAAGAACCAAATTGCTGGATTTACGGACTTTGACATAATTTTCCCAGTTGCTCAAGTGATTAGTTTCCTCATCATGCAGCATTAATAAATTTACAATCTTCAGAGTATGCAGTACATTAGGAAAGACATTTACAGCTTCTACATCTGTACAGGTGAATGACAGCCTCTCTTCTTTTCAGTCTGTCTTCAGAAAGATTATCCAGCTTGTAATAAGAATGCAAGGAAGCCCAATAGTTCATAGGTGAAAGGATCTGCTTGCCAAGAGATGATTCATGTGCATTCTCTCAAGCACTACATTTCATTGTCTCAGCCTCTGCCATAAATAGCTTCTGAAAAACAGACGACTAAGCAATGATCATTGTCTATTCCTGCTGCCCATCTTCCTCCGCTGACTGTCATCAGTTTTGTGCACTCGGAAACATTCCTTTAAATTTTGAGATCGAATCTTGGCATTCATAATCTCTTCACCCATAGAACTGGGGAACCAACCTCTTTCTTGATCATGCAAACGTTCCCCAAATATCCAGCCTAGAGTAAAAGAAAAGATAGCGATGGTGGAAAAAATGTACTAATAGAGATCAAATTAATATTGGCTTAATAATTCAATATGCAGAAAGTATTTTTTAATTAGAATGTATTGTGATATTGATTATACCATCTTAAGTCTGAAGCAGATGTTACAACTAAAGGAAATGTAAAGATACAGCTTTATTGGCACTGAAATACCTTAATATTATTGCAGTTTTAAATAAGAGTATGAAAAATTCATAGTCAATTCCTTGGGCCACAGCCTGCTACTGCTGGAATGCTCAAATATACTCCAGTCTCCCAACCTTAATGATGCAGATAAAATAGTGTTCCATTGTAATGGAACTGGTACATGACTCTGCATAAGTCTTTTTAATTTTTTTATTAGTTTATATTATAAAATACAAAAGTACAAAAACAAATAGTAGGAAAAAAGGAGGGGAAAGGGAAGAGTGTAGAAAAGAAGGGAAAAAGAAAGAAAAGGCGTTGACTTCCAACACGACTCTGCGTAAGTGTTGTTGATCTTACCATCATCTGTCTTTTCCAGAATGTTGAGGACATCAGCCAATTCCAATGAAAGTTCATCTGGTTGCTGGGCCACGTAAGGATGGACACATTGTACTTGAGGGCAATCTGTTAAAGGAAAGGAAATTAATTTAGCTTGCTAATCATTTATGAGAAGGAACTGCATGGGTATTTTTAATAGAATTAGGAGCTAATGAAATCCTGGTTTATATGAAAAACTTGCTGCAAAATATAGTATGCGGGAATCTCTCTCAATGTTTCCAGAAGTTGCCACTGACTCCTTCCCAGAGAACGACTGATCCAGAATCAACCAGCTGGCTTTGTGCCTAAGGGATGACTAAAACTCAGTGTCTCCCGGTTTCTAGCCTGTTGCCTTAACCATTACACCCAACTGGCTTTCCCAATTAATAATACCCATCCTGATTTAAAGTCTAGAAGAACTGACGTTGCTAAAACCCAATAAAAGAAGAAACGTATAGCATACTTTTCAAACCTGTTCGGATAGCAAACCTGTCATGCCTTCTCTTTCACTTACCCATAAGTCTGGATGTGAAGGAAACAAACTTTGTTCGTCGATTTGGAGCCAGCAAAATCATCCAGCGTTTCATTTCACTTCTATGTGAGATATACAGGAAGAAATCACAGCAATCAGAGTTTTCCATGTGCTTTTAGAATGGTTAGAAATCATGCAACTCTTACAATTAATTGTTCCTGCCAATTGTTTCTGCACATTATTTCTTCTGTTTAGATAAAATATATTTTATTCCATCTATGGAGGAATCAGAAAGTTGATAACGCTTCTTTTCTATAAGTCCAGTGACCATAAGATATACAAGAATGCATTTACTCTATTGTTATTAATCTCCTTCATTTAAAATAATATTTTCTTGCTGCATATAATGCATTAGGTCTTCATCTTAATACTGAATCCTTCAGCATATGTAAATATATATGTAAATCTATAGGCACTTTATCACTCCCTTTGTCATGCCATGCATCTGCAAAATGACTGATCTGCAGTTATGTATTTAAAAGATATATATGGCCACCCATCTTAAGGAACTCTGGGTGGCTCACAACAACCAACAATTTGTTAGGATGCCTTGCAGAATGTAATGCAATAAGCGTTGGTGCAAATCTACTACAGTCTCTAGCCTGAATTTATATGGCTTGGATGGAAATACTGTAAATACTAACTAAAGTAGGAATAAAATAAAACAGAACAATAAAATGCAAGTACTTGGATGCTAATGGTTTCAGTACTTAAAACTAATCTGTACATAAAACAACAAGGTTTAAAGAAGAACATACTCAATTATATAAAGAGTTCTACAGAATTGCATAAACAGTCATAATCATGTTTATGAGACTAAATCTATAGGCTGTCCAAACCTCTCATAATATGTTCCATCTGCCTTTTGAAGCAGACATCAGCAAATGAAATGGTCAAATTAGCCTGGGGAAAAAATAATCCATGTGCTTTATCAGCCTCCAAAACCCCCGATTTACTGTCAGCATTGAAATTTGTTTTGGATATGACTTATTTGCCAAAAATCTGAAATAAAGAATTGCAATATTGCCTAGTAACATATAAATGATGACTTTAAGATGGGCTTAATTCCACAAAAGATTTTTGTCCAGATTTAAACACCTCAGAAGAAAATCTGGCTGTCTCATTATTCTGTAAGGGTATGGATGGATGGATGGATGTGAAAGTTGGACCATAAGAAAGGCTGAGCGACAAAGAATTGAGGCCTTTGAACTATGGTGCTGGAGAAGACTCCTGTGAGTCCCTTGGACTGCAAGGCATTCAAACCGGTCAGTCCTAGAAGAGATCAACCCCGACTGCTCTTTAGAAGGCCAGATCCTGAAGTTGAAACTCAAATACTTTGGCCACCTAATGAGAAGGAAGGACTCACTGGAGAAGGGCCTAATGCTGGGAAAGATTGAGGGCAATAGAAGAAGGGGACGACAGAGAATGAGGTGG